TAAGGTTCTCCCCTCCAATTTTATAATCGGGGGTAACTTGTTCCAACTTTAGGATTTTTCCTTAAACTTAACTAGCAATGGAAGTAGTTTTAAGTTTCACATATTCCTAGAGGTCTGCAGAATTCTGCACAGTCAGGGACTGAATATTGAAATTTACTTTTAAGCCTAAAAATCTGCCAAAGTTTTGTACTGTACAATGGCATTTTCCAGGCAGGTTAGGTATCTCCTTAAATGAAAAGGGTATCAATGGCATATATAAATATTTTATCTTCCCCATCATGTCTAGTAAATAGTGATATATGGATTGAGCTAAACAATCATTGATAAGGTTCAATCGCCAGGCCAAATAGTTATTAAAAATGTTTGCATTGGGAGAGGAACAAAGAGTTGTACACATTTAATAAAATTTGAACTTATCCCCATAACACGTAGCAGCTCCGGTATGTGGTCCCATTCAACAGTGCCAAACGCTTTGTCAACGTCAATAGAGCGTATCGCCCTGTTGACTATGCTTTGCAAAGCAGATTGCATATTGAGAGAAATGCTTAATATATTAATTGCAGTCAGAGGGATATATTCAGAGTGGTCAAAAGATCACTAGTTGAGGTTTGAATTTAGATCACCAGAAAGCTAAACTTTTAACCAAAAATTTAAAATCCCTATATTGTACTGAGATGCGTGATAAAGAGTCTGGCTTAGAATGATCCTTATTAAGGTGATGAGTTTTTTTGTGCAGGACATGTTGGTATAGAAATGCAAAGAAATCTTTTCTATAGACCTCTGCAAAGAAATCTTTTATATTGACCTCTGATGGGAGGCTATCTTCACCTGCTTCTTGGCAGCTAAAGAATTAAGGGCCTTCGTTAGCTTTTTAAGTGTATGGTCAGAGTGTAAGCGGTCTCTGTCTTCAAGAGTTACTTTAGGGATCATGAGTGTCTGAGAATGATCGCATTTCTATAGTATTATGATTTTATTTTATTTTTTTTTCAAGGATATTCTAGTAGAGGATACAATAGTGCCATCGACAGCTGATAAATGGTCTATATAATTAGAGGTAGTTTGGGAGGCTGCCAGTATGGACAACATATGGTCTGTTCAGTCTTCTGCTTCAAGATATTTTTGCTTAACAAAGAATTGTGTTTCTTGCTTTGATAGGGGAGGTATCCTTTAGCAGATCCCAAGCCTCCAACCATACAGATTGTGTAGAAGCTTTAGGATTGGGGTATATATTCAAATTTCCTTCTATTCTACAGTTGACATCAAGTCCAGTCTCCTTTGTTGGAAGGAGTGTTTAATTTTACTGACCTATCGCCTAAAAAAACTTAAAAGTATTTCATATTATATTTTTGGCTTGACCGCATATTACAGTCAAAGACCGATAACTGACCAGGGTATTCATTTTCTCGAGTAAACACAATAAAAATGGACTGGGCTTCCACATCATTCCAACTAGGCATAGCTAACAGTTAGGAGTGGTCAGACAGGCCCCTAGGTTCAATTGATAAACTGAAGCTAGAAAGGCTTTATTACCTATGCTAAATCTGTCCTAGAGAACATTCCATGGATATGTGTTGCATTATCAAGGACTCCAAGGATAGTCATAAGTAGATCCTGGTAAATATTTCAAAATTGTCTGAAGTATTTAAGCACCCCTTCTGAGGTGGGGTGGGACAGGGGGTAGAAACATTTAGCAAGAACAGAGATTTTTTTTTTTTTTTTGCAAAAAAGCTATATCTGCCTGTCTCATCTATGTTGGTGTGCCTGCAGGTTATCAGTATATTCTTATCTACAGTGCTCAACATAAATGAGTACACCCCAAAAGATTGGTCAGAAATCTTTACTTTTCAGAATCAACATTTTTTTCTATAGGAAATTATAATTACAACAAAATACTCCCACACATGCGGGCCATTGATTGCAAACAAGATTTGTTAATTTGCGGACACACAAAGTATTTTTCCTAACAACAAATGCATTCAAGACCATGTTGCAAAAATGAATACACCCCAATGAAAGTCTTAGGAGGATAGCTAAATTTTAGACAAAATCCTGATTAGAGAAGAATTAGACTCATCTGTAGCTGAATTCTTGCTAAACAGGTGTCCAGCAGACAGTTGATTATAAAAGGACATTACTTAACCACTTGCCTACCAGGCACTTATACCCCCCTTCCTTACCAGGCCAATTTTCAGCTTTCAGCGCTGCCGCACTTTGACAATTGCGCGGTCATGCAACATTGTACCCATATGAAATTTTGATCATTTTTTTTCTCACAAATAGAGCTTTCTTTTGGTGGTATTTAATTGCCACTGGGCACTTTACTTTTTGCGCTATAAATAAAAAAAAGTGCAAAAAATTTGAAAAAAAAAAAAGTTTTTGTTTCTTTTATAAAATTTTTCAAACAGTATTTTTTTCCTTCACTGATGTGCGTTGATGAGGCAGCACTGATGGGCACTGATAGGCGGCACTGATGGGCACTGATAGGCAGCACTAAAGGGCACTGATAGGCAGTACTAATGAGGTGGCACGGATAGGCGGCACTGATATGACAGCACTGATTAGGTGTCACGGACACTGATATGATGGGTGACACTACTGGGTACTGATAGACGGCACTGACTGGCATCACTGCTGGGCATTAACTGGCGGCACTGACTGGCACAACCCCTGGGCACTGACTGGTGGCACTGACTGGCAGCACTGGTGGGGGGCACAGGTGGGTGGCACTGGTGGGCACAGGTGGTGGGCACTTCTGGCACAGGTAGGTGGTGCAGAGTGGCACAGGTGGCACTTCTGGGCACAGGTGGGCAGGTGGCACTTCAGAGTGGCACAGGTAGTGGCACTGCAGAGTGGCACAGGTGGGGGCACTGCTGTGCACAGGTTGGGGGCACTGCTGGGCACGGGTGGGCGGAGCTAGTGGGCGCACTGCTGGGCGGAACTTGCGGGTGTCACTGCTGGGCACCGATCATCAGGGCACTGATCATCAGTGCCCTGATGATCGGTGCCGATCCCCGCTCTGACAACTGCCGGTTCTCGGCAGTACTTTCCTCACGATCTGACAGCGTGAGGAAAGTGCAAGCCGAGAACCGGCACTTGCATTTCCCTGTGATCAGCGTGTCATTGGACACCGCTGATCACGTGGTAAAAGGCCGCTGTGATTGGCCTTTTTACCACATCACGTGATCAGCTGTGTCCGTAGGACACAGCGATCACGGAGATCGCCGGGTGCGCGCCCCCTGGGGCGCGCAGGAGAGCGCGTTCTGGGAGGACGTCATATGCTGTCCACCCAGAACTGGCCGGCAGCGGTGAAGCCGTCATTCGGCTATGTGCGGTCGGCAAGAGGTTAACAAAGCAAAAACCCCTTCCCATTTCATGCTGTCAGCAATGGCACCACATGGAAGAGAAATGTCACAATGCCTGAGAAAGAAATTCATTTTTTTTTATACAAAAAAGGTGAATGCTACAAAAAGATCAGCAAAGCTTTACTTATCAGTCAGAATACTGTAGCAAAAGTGATACAAAGATGGAACTGCAACCATTACAGAGAGACATCTAGCCATCCACGGAAGTTAACACCTCAACAGCAGCGTCTTTTAATAAGAGAGGCTGAAGAAAATCGGCATGCAAGTTCACTGCATTTAGCTAAAGAAGTAGAAAGCCAAACTGGGGTGATAGTTTCCCATGATACGATATGGTGTACACTGCCGAGGAAATGGCATGCATGGGTGTTGTCCACGAAGGAAGCCTCTCCTCAAGTCCATGCACAAGAAAGCCCATATAGAATTTGCCAGGGCCCATGCTGAAAAGAAGACTACTGGGAATCTGTACTCTGGAATGATGAGACCAAAGATAAATCATTTTGGAACTGATGGCTTGAAAACTGTATGGTGTTTCAAAGGTGAGGAGTACTAAGAAAAATGCATGGTGCCTACAGTGAAACATGGTGGTGGCAATGTCCTTCTGTGGGGCTGCATGAGCGCTGCTGGTGTCGAGCAGCTGCATTTCATTGATTGTACCATGAATTCATGGATGTACTGCTCTATATTGAAAGTGAAGATGAGAAGGGCACTCTGTGCCCTTGGTCGTCGTGCACTTTTCCAACATGACAATGATCCAAAACACACATCTAAGGCCACTGTTACATTTTGAATAAGAACAGGGTGAAAATGATTCGGTGGCCAAGTCTGTCTCCTGATCTGAATCCAGTCAAACACCTATGCATTAAGCATCCAGGCTCTAAAAGAGGTTGTTCTTGAAGAATGGGAAAAAAATCGATGTTGCAATATGCTGCCAAAATGTTCATTCCATGCCTAGAAGACTTGGTACTGTCCTTACAAATCATGGATGTCATACTAAATACTAGATGGAGTAGTTTTTGTTGTGGGGTGTATTCATTTTTGCATCATCTAATTTGCGGAAAACTAACTTTTTATTAACCTTACTTTCATGTAATGAGCTAAAACAAATGTTCTATAAAACTCAGTTTTGTCAAAATTTTGGAAATTGTTTTTATGTTCATTAAGATATTGATTAAAATCTTGCGTTTCAAAAGAGGTGTACTCATTTATGCTGAGCACTGTATAAGTATGCTTATTGAGTAAGAGTTATGAAAGTAATAAAGTGATATTTTATATTGTGATCTGCAAAGGAGATCCGTGTTCTCTTTCCTTAAATGTCTCCTGCAGGCAGGAAAGGAATTTAAGTTGTTGTGGATTAGCCATTAAAAACCTAGTCTCATAACTTGTTCAAGATAGGTCTCTGCATGTGTCAATAACAATCTGAATATTAAAGCAAGCCAGCAGTAATGGTCATGGTGCAGTCTTTGGAGGAGAGAGCTTGACCTGGAAATTTGAGTTAACAGCAAGCCAAAAGAAAAGTCTATTAGTGGGGAACAAAAAAAGACAAATCCGAAATTAAAAGCCAGCCTGAAAAATAGAAAAGTCTGTTTTGTTTTTTTTTTCTTTTTCAGTTATTCAGATTTATGTTTTCTGGTTTGGCAGGTTCCACGCCAGGGTTATCGGCGACCCCTCCAGCCTCTCTCCCCGGATCCCTCACTAATGTGAAGGCTCTCCAGAAATCCCCAGGGCAACAAAGAGAGCGCAAATCTTCCTCGTCCTCTACTGAAGACAGGAGTAGAGTGGTGAGTATCATGTGCGTTTGTCACCTGCATGTTCTTGGTGGAAACCATCTGGTTAGATTAAGCAATATATGGTTTCATAGTTAAATGGGAATTGGTGTCATCAGTATACTAGGCAGCACATTGTCATCAGTTGTCGCTAACAAAATGCTGTTATGTAAGAGTCATTCCAACAGAAAGGTTGACTTAATTCTTCAAAGGATCTGCTGTTTAAAGAGAGCTCTGGGGTTGGGTGAAGTGAATAAATACACTGTATGGCCAAAAACATAACCAAGTAGACTCTGAGATTGGGTACACAAAGCCCGATCTATAAAGCTATGGCCTACACAGTGCCCTGACCTCTCCTCTGCTGAACACCTTTTGGCATAAGTTTGAATGCACCAGAACTTTGCATCCAAAATCCGTACCTGACCTTGCAACTACTCGGCTGATTGGGAGCAAATTCCTGAGACATGCTCCAAAATCTTGTGGAAATCCTTCTCCTGAAAACTGGTATACCTACAAAGAGGGGGGGGGCCAACGGCATCATCATGTCCCATGTTTTGGGAATAGGATGTCCTTCAAGCTCATGTAGATGCCCCTAAACGTTTGGCCTTGTATCATTGGTGCCAAAGTTAAAGCTTTGTTGAAAAAAAATAAATTCTAAGCATATTATGATTGGCTTGGGCAGTTTCCACCCCAAACCCCCCCCCCCCCCCCCCCCCCCAACAGATGCTGTTAAAGGGTAACATTCTGGCTGAGCCAGCCTATCAGAGGCTCTGCCTCAACCCAGATTCCACTTCTTAGCAGTGGGCAATGTCCCTCTACCAAATCCCCCCCCCCCCCCCCCCCTCCCCATGCTCTAGCATTGCTTGCTGTAAAGATCACGTATCATATAGTTTAGTTTTGGGTATAGGTATTTACCTCTCTGTATATGGATAGCCAGAGGAGATTTTATCGTTGCTTTCTTAAAATTAGTCAAGCTTTACCATCGAGAAATATGATTTAGGTACACTTTGAAACTGCCTGTGCATGCTACTTAGTTAACAGGTTTTCAATGCTGTCCTCTTTGCAGAAAACACTTGGACGCCGAGATTCCAGTGATGACTGGGAAATTCCAGATGGGCAAATCACAGTCGGACAGAGAATAGGATCTGGATCCTTTGGGACAGTGTATAAGGGAAAGTGGCATGGTACTGGCTTATTTGTTTCACTTTCTTTGAAAGTTCACCTAATGCCCTTAAGCTGGCTATAGATGGTTTGAATCTCATCCCGTTCAGCAGAGACCATCTGAGATTCTATCATTCTGTGGGCAGACTGATTTGTACTCAAGTCGATCCTTCGATTTGACTTGGGTACAACCAGCATGTCTGATATCTAGCATGGAATTGACAGTGGCTATAGCTGCTAGCAATAATCACTGTTCTCCCTGCAGGGATGGCTCCCTGCGCTTCCCCTGCTGGGAGAACACAATGACTTCACAGAAGGGATTCCCCCATCTACGCTGACTATCTATGGCCTGCCTTGAGAGAACTTCAGTAAGGATTATCCAAAATCAAGAATGGCTAGTTTTAGTGTAAGGGTTCGTTTTGAGGGTTACACTAGGCATGTGACTCTCTCCCCATCTTCCCATGTGGCATTGTTGATGATTACCTTCTCAAAACACTGAGCACTGTCAGAAAAGACAAGTTATTGGGGCTTGCATTAAAATAAACCATTTTTCTTTGAATAGGTAAATCATAGGTTCACTTCAAAACCTGGACACATTGCTTACTCGAAATCCCTTACAGACTTTTTTTTTTTTTAGCCGAGTGTCAGATATTCCCAACATACTGTATTAGATCGGATTGACTTGAATTAAAATGTATTTTTCCTTTTGAGTGGTTTTACTTCTTGGTTCTATTTGTACTTTTCACAGAAAGTGTTGCTTTGCTGACTCAGCTTTTTTGTGTGTTTTGTTTCAGGAGATGTAGCTGTGAAAATGTTGAATGTAACTGCGCCAACTCCTCAGCAACTACAAGCCTTTAAAAATGAAGTAGGCGTGCTCAGGTAAGTCTTAGTCTATTCAACCCCGTTTATTCAGCATAAGATGCTATATAGGGGGATTTAAAGAATGTGTTTTGAAGAGAAATTCCTGCGGTTACTGACAAACCTCTGATCGCTCTGACATGTCTGGGTGTTGCTACCAGCTACCCCTACACATTTCTTTTGGATTATCATACAAGCTGCTTCTCTGGCCTGTACAAATGTGCAGGAGAGTGGAAGAGGCAGGAATACTTGTGCACTTTGATCTGGACACCCCTGCTATACATTCTAGTTAGGTCTTTTGACCTTCCTTTTTTTTTTTTTTTTCTACACTGTGGTTATGCAATACAGCTTTAAGGTAAGATTTCTTTTATCTGTGTCAAGTGAATTAAAAAGTATTATCTTTATCACACAGTACAGGACACAGGAATTGATTAGGTGACCATTGATTTATATGCCGCTACCTTCAGATGATTGGGCACTGACAAAAGCTTTCCTTGGTCCACCCCCTAATTTACCCCTATAATCCTGCACACTCCACGTGTTAAGTGATGGAGAAGAATTTCCTATTTTCACCAGATTTAGTTTGTCCTTCAACTGACACTTCTGTTGAGATCTGGTTGCTAATTGCCTTCATAGCAGTAGCAGAATCAGTTGCCCTCAAGTACAACTTGGGAACTGTACTCACACCCTGTGGCAGTGGAGCCAATCTGTAATGATTTTATCTGGCACTGGATCATGCACTTGGCACTCACTTTGGCTAACTACACTTGTTGCACCAAGTGTCAAAGTGTGCCATTTGGGCACAGGACCGTCACCCATTCCTATGGCACCCAGACTCCCGAAGACCCCTTTTGAGGGTATGCCCACCATGACAGGCTAAGCCTGGACCCTGAACGGGACTAGTGACTTATAACTAGTTACTAGATTTACACGGCCTAATGTCTCTGTAGTATACACTACTTCCCAATCTTACAAGACCTATTGCAGTGCCATGCAAACAAGCAGTTTACAGGACACAAGTGGGAGGGGTTTACACTCTTGGGGATCTATGTAGCATATGTACTCTGAGCAAATGTAACACACTTCTGCACAGTACCAACAAAACTTGCCCTATTCGCCTAGGTGGCGATTTCCATCATACAAGTGTTGTTAATTTAGTTGACTAATAATTTTTGTCATAGGTTTGGTCAATAACGTGTTTAGTGACTAAAACTAGACAAAACCTAAATAAAAACTAGTTTGTGCTGACTAAAACTGTAAAAAAAAAAAAAAAAAGAGACCCAATCAAAACTAATCTCTTTGAACTTAAATCTGTGTCTTTATTGCTTGTTCAAACCTTAAGAACATACAGTGCCTTGAAAAAGTATTCATACCTCTTGAAATTTTCCACATTTTGTCATGTTACAAACAAAAATGTAAATGTATTTTATTAGGATTTTCTGTGATAGACCAATACAAAGTGGCACATAATTGTGAAGTGGAAGTAAAATGATCATTTTAGGTTTCAACATTTTATTCTACAAATAAATGTCTGAAGTGTAGCGTGCATGTGAATTCAGCCCCCTTACTGTGATACCTCTAACGAAAATATAATGGAACCAATTGCCTTCAGAAGTCACCAAATTGGTAAATAGAGTCCACCTGTTTTTTGTAAAAAAAAAAAAAAAATTTTGAAAACCATTTATCTTCCTTCCACTCACAATTATGTTCCACTTTGTGTTGGTCTATCACATAAAATCCCAATAAGATACATTTAGGTTTTTGGTTGTAACATGACAAAATGTGGAAAATTTCTAGGGGTATGAATACTTTCTCAAGGCACTGTAAGTAATAACAGGTTAATAGATATTTACTCCAGGAATAAATAAGAAGATTGGAAATTCTAGGGAAATGCTTAAATAATGCATCACACTTTAACTAAACCCATTCAATTTTACTTGACTAAATCTACTGTAGATTTAGTTGGCTAAATTCGTGTTCTATTTAGTCGACTAAAACTAAAACAATTCACATTAAAATGTGACTGAAACTAAATGGCATTTTAGTCTGAAGACTGTGACTAAACCTAAATCAAAATTAGCGGTCAAAATTAACACTGCATATGAGATGGTTAAAGTGGTTCTAAAGGCTCAGGGTTTTTTTACTCTCATGTATTCTATGCGGGGGGGATATGATCAACATGTATAAATACATCAGTGATTCATATAGTGAACTCGGTGTAGAGCTATTCACCCTGAGGTAATCACAGAGGACAAGGGGGCACTCTTTACGTCTGGAGGAAAAGAAATGTAATCTCCAAACACGGAAAGGTTTGTTCAGTGAGACGCTGTGAAAATGTGGAATAGATTCCCTCAAGAGTTGGTTCTGGCCAGCTCCGTGGATTGCTTTTTAAAAAAAGGCCTGGATTATTTCTTAGATAAACAGAATATAACTGGATGCTAACATTTATAGGTAAAGTTGATCCAGGGAATGTCTGATTGCCTCTCGGGGATCAGGAAGGAATGTTTTCCCTGCAGCAGAAAATTGGTTCATGCTTTGCTGGGGTTTTTTTTGCCTTCCTCTGGATCAACTGTGGGTATAGGATTACAATTTTTTTTTTTTTTTTTTTTTTTTTTTAGGTTAAACTGGATGGACTTTTGTCTTTTTTTTTCAGGCAGACTAACTATGTAACTAATGCATGAAGGTAAAAAACATTCTGTGTGCAGAATTGGTCAATCTATTACAGGCTCTGAGGAAATTCAAAGTTCCTCTCAAGTTGATAGGCAAGGTCTAACAATGGCAGGGCTCCAGTCCCTTGACATGAACTTCCTTACAGACAAGCGCCATACTGCTAATATTTTTTATTTATTCCAGAGATTTTTACCACTTCTGGAAAGGCTGGAGGCTAATCAGCCTTAAATGCTCTTCTACCTTTCCTCCCCTTGACTATATTCCTAGGCCAAAACCGGAATTGCCTAGCACACTTATTGTGGCAGAAAACAATGGGTATTGCATACATTTTAGCAGAGGCGGCTCAAGTTTTTTCAGCGCCACAATTTAGAAAAGTTGCTCCCTTTAGCATTTTTCTATATGCTGTCTACTGTTTGAGGTAGTGCATACTAGTCTCTGGACAGTTACTCCTGGGGCTGCATAGCCCCACATGCTCCCAAATGCACAAAAATGAGGGGCTTTTGCAGAAAGCCTTTTTCCTACCTTGAGTCAGACAAGTTGAACCTTAGACAGTGGTTGGTCAAACTTGGGGAGCTTATTTCCCCCTTTTGACAACTTAAAAGCCTTGTATCCTTTTGGATGTAGAATTTAACAAGAAATGGTCTGTCCTCACTGTGAACGTAGCCATTCTTGCAATGAATGTTCAGTCATTCTTTAAAGGAGGTGGTGTTCCCTCAATCAAAAGCATAAAGTGGATAGGTGTTTAGAGACCCTTTTTTGAAGGCCTTCTTTTCCTCTGGTAGGCCCAGCCTTGCATCTGGCCATAGTCACCTGATCTGTTACCCTGATTATGGCTAACAGGGCTGAAGAAACTAATAGTCGGCTTTCTCTTTTTATATAGGTAATCCTAATTGTTCTTCATGATTGCAGCTCTTGCCCCCGTGTCCTAGAAATCTTTGTAGATGCCATGAAAAATGTGATCTGCCAGATTTCCAGAATGCCCTAATTTCCTGTGCATATGCATGGCATCTTATGGCTTAAAGCTTGGGTGATGGACCCAACTCGGGAGAGGTGACTTTTTAATCTTATTGCTGTCCTCTCTCTCTATTCTTTGTTTCTACCCATTTCTCCTTGCTGCCTTAGGAAAGAATGTTTCCAAAACCCCATTATGGCCCTGTTGCCGCAGTGGATGGTTACTTCCCTTCTTTCTGGTAAAAACGTTTAATAGGAAACTGTCCTTTTTAGGGTTGCACATCCCGTCAAGCTCATGATGCATTGGTAAAAACTGTTGCAGTGGTCCGGCTCCCACAAGTTCTTTGCCCCACCATTTAACCACATTCATTTTTAAGGCTTTACCTAGTCTCCTGTAGACGTTCTATTAGATCTTTCTTGCAGCATCTCTCCCCTTCTAGACTACACAGTGTGACACATTATTCTCCCCTTTTGTTCAAGTATGCATGTAAGCCTTACATTTAAAAGCAGAATTGTGTTTTTTTTTTTTTTTTTTTTTACCATGTTTTGTGATGCTAAATTATTGCGTTTTTTTTTTTTTTTCTCACCGCCTAAGCAATCCTGTGGTACTACGGCGGATTGATACCATAGGACTCCTGACTCTGAATTCTTGTATCTAATGCCTGGCTGCTGTTCAGAATATTCCCTTGAGGTAGACCCAGCATCCTTTTGGGGCTTTATGATCTGGGCGCCCAGGTCCACTCCTGACTTCAGCAAAACAATGTTGTCTACACCTGTTTCATGCTCAAAAATAATGTTTTCTTCATGTCACTTTCAGTTGCTCCTTGTAAGACTGCTTCCCATGGATTCTGTTTGTCCCTTGAGATGACCCTAATGTAGTTTATTACACTTGCCTACCTAGACCCTTCTCCCCTCTGTTGAAGAAGGGCAGTTTCACAACTGAGCACTTAAGCACTCTTCTCTGCCTTTTCCATGGCTGTGACTGCGAAACATGACCCCCCCCCCCCCCCCCCCCCCCCCCCCCCCCCCCCCACCCGTGATTCATCCCCCCTATTCTGCTTGGCACTCTGGTAATTTCTCATATATAGGGCTTCTGCCCTCAGGAATGAGTTCCTTTTTCCTTGCCCATTCCCCCTTGAGCCTGGGCAGCATCTAAGATGGGGATAGCACATGGTCTATGAAATGATTTCTGTGTCCTGTGCTGTACGATTAGAGATAAAGGGCATTTTTATATACCTGTAAATTTCATGATTTGGAGTATAGTACAGGACTTGGGTCCCTCCCATTTTTTTTTTTTTTTTTCCTCTGTGATACCATTATTGTTTGCTGAAGAAACTTGAGCCTTCCAGATCTTTCTTGCAGCATCTCTCCCCTTCTAGACTACACAGTGTGACACATTATTCTCCCCTTTTGTTCAAGTATGCATGTAAGCCTTACATTTAAAAGCAGAATTGTGTTTTTTTTTTTTTTTTTTTAACCATGTTTTGTGATGCTAAATTATTGCGTTTTTTTTTTTTTTTTTTTTTCTCACCGCCTAAGCAATCCTGTGGTACTACGGCGGATTGATACCATAGTCCTGACTCTGAATTCTTGTATCTAATGCCTGGCTGCTGTTCAGAATATTCCCTTGAGGTAGACCCAGCATCCTTTTGGGGCTTTATGATCTGGGCGCCCAGGTCCACTCCTGACTTCAGCAAAACAATGTTGTCTACACCTGTTTCATGCTCAAAAATAATGTTTTCTTCATGTCACTTTCAGTTGCTCCTTGTAAGACTGCTTCCCATGGATTCTGTTTGTCCCTTGAGATGACCCTAATGTAGTTTATTACACTTGCCTACCTAGACCCTTCTCCCCTCTGTTGAAGAAGGGCAGTTTCACAACTGAGCACTTAAGCACTCTTCTCTGCCTTTTCCATGGCTGTGACTGCGAAACATGACGCCCCCCCCCCCCCCCCCCCGTGATTCATCCCCCCTATTCTGCTTGGCACTCTGGTAATTTCTCATATATAGGGCTTCTGCCCTCAGGGAATGAGTTCCTTTTTCCTTGCCCATTCCCCCTTGAGCCTGGGCAGCATCTAAGATGGGGATAGCACATGGTCTATGAAATGATTTCTGTGTCCTGTGCTGTACGATTAGAGATAAAGGGCATTTTTATATACCTGTAAATTTCATGATTTGGAGTATAGTACAGGACTTGGGTCCCTCCCATTTTTTTTTTTTTTTTTTTCTCTGTGATACCATTATTGTTTGCTGAAGAAACTTGAGCCTTCCAGAGTGGGTGGGGTTTGTTGGGTACACTAGGGTACAGACCGAGCAACAATTTTCTAGTGGCTGATCATTTTGAAGGTTGCGGCATATAATTCATGGTCTATGAATCTCTTCCTGTGTATCGTAATCCAAGATATGGAATTTATAGGTACATCAAAATTCCTTTTTTTTTTTTTTTTTTTTTCTTCCCCTTTTTGAAGGAATATATGGGTGTACTGACAGGTGTTTTTTTGTGTTCAACTCCCTTCTCTGTTGCAGGAAGACTCGGCATGTGAATATCCTGCTTTTCATGGGCTATTCTACCAAACCCCAGCTGGCAATAGTAACCCAATGGTGTGAGGGTTCCAGCCTCTACCACCATCTACACATCATAGAGACCAAATTTGAAATGATCAAGCTTATTGACATTGCACGGCAGACAGCACAAGGCATGGAGTAAGTTTCCCATTGTATATGGAACTTTGCAACTGGTATGGCTGATCTGTGGCCTGCTACTTGTTGAGGGACTGTTAAAGGAGAAGTGTGGTTTGGCATGAAGAATATACCTCTGATATTTGCATGGTTTATTTCAGCATTAATAAACCAGGAATGACCATTCACTGCATTTTTTCTGCTAAATACCCTTTTATCCAAAAAATGAGCACAGCACAAAGGTTTTGATATTTTCCTACTGCATTTGGCATGTTCTCTGAGAAACCTCCTGAGTGCATTGTGAAAATTGTTACATCAGTTGTCCTGTGCTAATTATTTTATTAAAAGAAGTTATTTTAGCAGCGATATATTGAACAATCTTCTTGGTTTATGGACATTGCAATGAGTGAGTCCAACCTGCATGGTTGTGGACCGAGCTGAATGCCATTACATTTTTTGGTACTTCTCTATCCTGGTTGGACAGCATATACATATAGGCAGTGGAGCTGGCATCTTATTCACTACTGTACTTGCACTTGTGGCTTCCATAGAGTATAATTGCTTGCCTGTGGCCAACTGGATGGGCTCTGTGAAGTCAGGGAAAGGGACTAGTACCACTACCCACCCCAAGGCTGGGACACATCATTGGGTGCATCTCCTTCTGTTACTAAGCCTCATAGCATTATTGCTGGCTATATTTATGCCCCTGATTAAAGTATATCTACCACTGTTTTGTTTTATTTTAATATAAAACTTTTTTTCCAGTTGATGTTTTAATTTAATTTGTTCTTATGTCTCAGCTATTTGCACGCCAAGTCAATCATCCACCGAGATCTGAAAAGCAATAGTATCCTTTCTGAACATGGCAGCTTCAAGATTGTCTGTCTAAAAATGGAGACAGACAAATAGGTGTTTCTGCTTGCTGTTAGCATTGCTACCAAATCCTATTCCTTGTGTTTTTTAGGCATTTATAGTCTGAGAGTGTCAAACATCCAAGTGTTCAAAGTTTTGTTTTTATAATAAAAATTTGTTCACAGCAAACACTGTAAAATTTGCCTTCGACAGGTAAAAGCACATAACTAAACAAGTGTTTTACATAAGTAAATTTAACTTTTTATTTACGGTCGGAATTTTTCACTCTGCTTATTTCTTGTGTGTACCCTCCCCCTGACAGGCAGCCTTTTCTTTCTGCCATCCCTTGCATTCTGGCTCACCAATGACATTTGTCCTTCAGCTGTATTGTCATACTGCGCATTCAAGAGATGTATCACATGACATCATGCACCTCATCTTGCACATGCGACATTACATTCATGTTCTGGGAAAAAGTGTCTTCCCCCAAGATGTCACTAACCAAAAAAATATATACCATATACAGTGGATATAAAAAGTCTACACACCCCTGGTAAAATGTCAGGTTTCTGTGATGTAAAAAAATGAGACAAAGATAAATCATTTCAGAGCTTTTTCCACCTTTTTTAATGTAACCTATAAACTGTACAACTCAGTTGAACAACAAATTGAAATCTTTTAGGTGGAGGGAAGTAAAATGAAAAAACTAAAATAATATGGTTGCATAAGTGTGCACACCCTTAAACAAATACTTTGTTGAAGCACCTCTTTTGTTTTGTTTTTTTTTTTGTTTTTTTACAGCACTCAGTCTTTTTGGGTATGTGTTTATTAGCATGGCACATCTTGTCTTGGCAATATTTGCCCACTCTTCCTTGTAAGAATGCTCCAAATCTGTCAGATTGCAAGGGCATCTTCTGTGCACAGTCCTCTTCAGATCATTCCACAGGTTTTTCGATCGAATTCAGGTCTGGACTTTGGCTAGGCCATTCCAAAACTTGAATCTTCTTCTGGTGAAGCCATTCCTTGATTTGGATGTATGCTTTGGGTCGTCGTCATGCTGAAACTTGAAGTTTCTCTTCAAGTTCAGCTTTCTAGCAGAAGCCTGAAGGTTTTGTACCAATATTGACTGGTATTTGGAACTGTTCATAATTTCCTCTACCTTGACTAAGGCCCCAGTTACAGCTGAAGAAAAACTGCCCCAAAGCATGATGCTGCTACCACCATGCTTCACTTTTTTTTTTCAGTTGTACAATTTTATAGGTCACATTAAAGGTGGAAAATATTCTGAAATGATTAATCATTGTCGTTTTTCGTTTTTTTTTTTTTTTTTTTTTTTTAATCACAGAAACCTGACATTTTAACAAGGGTGTGTAGACTTTTTTTATTATCCACTGTATACATGTTTATTATTTTTTTTTTTTCCCCCAACATATTATAATATTGTATGGCGCTTCAAGAGAAAAGATGCATGGCATTATGGACTTCATCTCCAGAATGCACAGTACAATAATACTGCAAAATCTTGCAGTTTAGTGAGGAGATCTCCCTGAAAATATGATTGACCCATTGAAAAGCTGTGTTTAGCACCTCATTTGCGCATATGTTTGGTTTTTGAGGTGGCAGGAAGACCCCTTACAGCCACTACAATTTCTATGGGAAAAGAGGTGGGACCTCCTGAAGCTACCTTTTTAGTCTTGCATTCAGCCAACTGTTAGGAACATGGCTTGTTCCTCCTTAACCTTCTCTAGATATTTTTCTTCATGAAGACCTCACGGTAAAGATTGGTGACTTCGGTCTTGCCACAGTGAAGTCGCGGTGGAGTGGCTCGCACCAGTTTGAGCAGTTATCAGGTTCCATTCTATGGATGGTAAGATGATCCATTTCTGTTTTTGGAAAACATATTTTGTAATCCGCACATGACCTTTGGATCATCATTATTCACCACAGAATTAAGTCTTTTTATTGTTACACCAGGTGCTTACTGTTAAGTGTTATTGTTCTGAGGTTGTTTGATTGTTGTATGGCTTCTTTCAGTTTCTACTTTTGTTAAAATTTTAATTTTCTTTTCATGATATGCCTTTTAGGCTCCAGAAGTCATCAGAATGCAGGATAAAAATCCTTACAGCTTTCAGTCTGATGTCTACGCATTCGGCATTGTACTATATGAATTAATGACTGGGCAGCTACCATATCAGAATATTAACAATAGAGATCAGGTGAGTTGTCCCTGCCAAAAATGCATTCCTTTTTGTGAAGCTAGACCAGGGATGTCCAACTTGTGGCCCAGGACAACTATGAATATGGCCCAACACAAAATCGTGACCTTACTTTAAAAATGTTGATTTATTTATTTTGGCAGCACCTATATTAATCAACTGTTTTTAAGAATAATGCACACAAAGGGCATAATACCTGATGAGCACCTTGAGAATTAATTGAGAATTGTTTCTACTACATCCATCGAACCAGATATTGATGCATTAGTTTCTCAAAAACTGTGTCAATTCTTGCCCTAGTTCTATGTTGTCCTTTTACTTTTTATAATAAAAAATATTACAAAGAAATGAATTTATTTTACTCAAATAGGTACTTTTATCTACATCATTGGTCATTAATTTGTGATCATCAGCTATCCTTATCGTTGGTGTATTTTATGTGTGGCCCAAGACAATTCCTTTTCCTCCAATATGGCTTAGGAAAGTCAAAAGGTTGGACACCCCTGAGCTAGACTTTTGTTAGGTGCCCACCTCTGCAGCTGCCTATGCTTCTTCTTCCCTTTTTTTTTTTTTTTTTTTTTTTTTTTTTTTTTTTTTTTTTTTTTTTTTTTTTTTAATTCGCTCCCCTGTCTCTCAGTTCGCCAGCAAAGTGACATGGCAAGTGCTTTCATGTACTTGGGGGCATGCAAATCACTCCCTGTCCTTCCACCCAGAACTGGCACAACAGCAGGAGCCAATGGCAGCTGCTGCATCTGTAGAAAGGGGAACACCTCTGGAGAGGAGGTTGAGTATAGAAGTAGGAATGGTCTTTTTTATGGTACAGGGTGCCGGGGGGATCTTAATTGACCAAGCTGGAGGCTATAAATTGCAAGGACAGCAATGAATTAGGCCTGTTGATTTGTCCCACATTGGTCAAACTATTCTGTAAATATAGGCAGCTGTTATGTGCAGGTTTTGAGAATTCCCTGTAAATTTTGAGTTTGGTCCTACTGAGCTTGTTAATGTGATGGCTTTCTTGACCAATAGGCTGAGGACATGAGTTAGAGTGGGGTCAACATCTAAAGGGAAAGTTAAGAATTACAACTTTAGCTGCTTGTGTCTTTGGATCTGCTGCTTGTTTTGACATGTGATTTTTCCTGAAGCTGCTCCCTGCTTATGCTTTGTTTTCACTATGTACTGGGTTTGAATCGCTAGGTCTGAAATCCATTAGAAGTCGTATTGTGGCATCTCATGAATATAACATTTTTCTGTTCTGTTCCTAAAACCTTCTTTCCCCCCCCCCCCCCCCCCCCCCCCCCCCCCCCCCCCCCCCCCCCCTAATCTTGTCAGATCATATTTATGGTTGGCCGAGGTTATCTGTCTCCGGACCTCAGCAAAGTTCGGAGTAACTGTCCCAAAGCAATGAAGAGGTTAATGGCAGACTGTCTGAAGAAAAAGAGGGATGAGCGGCCCCTGTTTCCACAGGTAAAGTAACTTCTGCTGGAACTGAAATTACCTGGAAAGAGTCAGCTTCTAGCAAGGGAAGGTATCCAGAATGTTGAGTGAAAGTTATTTTATCCTGTTCTTTAGTCTACAGAAAAGTTTTAAGCTTCTCATGGAGCTACAGTTTCCATAATGCCCTGCTCAATGATTGCAGAAAATAGAGTTGGCTACAGATTTTTTTTTAGTTTTTTTTTTTCTCCATCTGTTTTTTTTTTTTATATAGATTTTAAGTGGCAGAGATGTTAGCACATAACACATTTGTCAATTTCTGAAGCATGGATGGTTAAGTATCTGATCTCCTGAACTAAACACCCAGAATTGCCCTATGTTAAATTTGATATCTGGGTTTGAGGCCCAGTGTCATTCAACTTGGCAGACTAAAAATATACTTTAAATGCAAGATTTTGGGGGACAGTTGGAGTGGGGGGGCTGAGTCTGTTTGGGTTTAATGTGATTGCTTTTATTGCTCAGCTGTTCAAGAAGTGGTTAACTTAACCACTTGCCTACTGTGGCAATTCTGACATTTCTCTCATACATTTAAAAATCTGCAATTTTTTTGCTAGTAAATTACATAGAACCCCAACGTGTAATATTGTAATATTTTTTTTTTTTTTTTTTAGCAGACGTCCAAGAGAATCAAATGGTGGGTGTTGCAATTTTTTTAGGTCACACGGTACTTGTGCAGCAGTTTCTCAAACCTATAAGTGGTTTCTCAAATACACTTTATTATATTGAGTTTGCGTTCACTAAAATACATTACTTAATTTTTTTGTAAATGGATACCTGGTATATACTGGTGCTAGAATTATTTCTCTTTGATGTTTGCAGTGATACCTCACGTGTGGTGCGATCACCGTTTACATTCACATTTGCACATTGGAAAATTGGGGAACCTTTTTTTCTTTTTTAAATTAAATGTATATCCTTCTTTTTTGTTTTTTTGTTATCAACTGTATTATGAACAACTTCCCTCATGATAGCATGGGTTGTGACAGGTCTCCTTTTTGGAGAGATCTGGGGTCTATTAGATCCCTCATCTATCCTCTGGCCTCCAAACCACCTGAGTAAACTGAGATCAATTTGATCAGATGCTGTAACAGCTTGTTTACAACAAACCAAAACCGGAAGTGGCGAAATCCTTGCCGCTTCTGGTTTCTGATCTCCGAGAGGAAGGAACAACTTCAGTTCCTCTTTCTCTGCCAGTGCACTGGATGTCGCCTGTCAGATTGGTCCCAGGCCCCCCGATGGGACAGAAGAGATCAGGAAAGGCCGCTGCGGTGGAAGAGGGGACCCCTTTCTTCCACATTTAGAAGTGATCGAGTGGCTGTATAGCCCCTTGAATCGCTTCGACAAAAAGAGAATCGCCAGTTGAAAATTTTGATAACGGGATGATGCTTGAAAGTGGTTATACTGGGATAATGCTTAGAGCTACAAACCAAGAACGTCATATGACATCCTACAGGTGGGAAATGGTTAAAGACAACTTAATCAGTAAAATCCCCTAGAAATTTTAGCACGTTCATGTTATTTCCAAAGTCATGTTCAATTTTTTAAATCTGCAACTTTAATTAAAATACACCTGATGATCCTGCTATTAAGATTGTTGTGCAGGCATTTCCTGTTGTAGGGTGAAAACCTCACACAGAGACTAGAAGAGGCAATTTCAACACATATTACGCAGGCATGGTCCACTGTTGTCATTATTAGAAAAACTGCCAACTACAGCTATTGTAGTACATTTAGCCAAGAAGTGGCTTCAGAGAGGCTGCAGGAGATCAGCAGCACTGAGAGATGTGTTATGGTTTTCTTCTGCTTTAAAGCTGGTGTAACCTGATCAACCTCATTGATATTTTCTGTTCGCTGTCTTACACAAATTGCCAAACCTTGTCTCTTTCTTCTCCATTAGATTCTTGCCTCCATTGAACTCCTGGCCCGGTCATTGCCAAAAATTCACCGCAGTGCATCTGAGCCATCGTTGAATCGAGCCGGCTTCCAGACAGAAGACTTCAGTCTGTACGCTTGTGCTTCTCCAAAAACGCCCATCCAAGGTGGTGGATATGGTGGGTTCGACAATCACGGCCTGTGAGCTCAGCTGAGCCCCTCCATTCCAGATACTAGTGCCCCTGCTGGCAGGAGTCTGTAAATGTCTGTGTGATGCTTCATTGTACACACCATGCTCAAATAGCTGTATAGTCTCTTTGTAAATATTCTATTAATTATTTGTATATACACTGCTGAAGTGCTGGCTGCCTTCAGTTTTATTGTACTTAGATTTATCAGGTGTCTAATGGTAATAAATAAAAATAAATTTGTCCCTTCCGTAGGTTTAATTGACTGCAAAGTCATACTTCATTGCATCTCGTCCATGACATTTTTATTCCAAGTGAAAATTTGCAAGAGAACCTGTCTAGGGTATAAATATTGAAGATGGTGCATTTTCTGACTTGTTTTCCTAGTCGGACAGGACACAGGCTCATGATCATTATGACTGAGATATATGCAGCTACCTTCAGGTAATTGGACACTAGTAAAAAGGGACATCCCCCTATATAACCCTTCCCACATCCAGCTACACTGAGGTTTTTATTAGTGTCCTTAAGTGATCAACCTCTTCTGTCTGCTGAGAGAAGCTTACCTTCTAATATGGAGGTATTTCTCTGTGGATAATATTCCACGATGATTCTTGGTTCACTGCACCATAGCCACTGCGGCGTCCGGGGACCATACCTGGAACCCCACTTAGTCAAGGATGCTGAGCCAGCCTCTAATGTTGCTTTTTTGCACAGGACTCTGTTGTGAGCATTGCCATGGGCATATAGTGCAATTCCATGCCCATATTGCAATTCCATTGCATGTCCATGAAGACTAGGGGTTTGCTCATCCTGAAGGGTGAAGCTAGTATGGGGTTAATCCCTGTTAATCCTATCTGCTAGATTGTGGTGAGTACAGGTCAGAAGCCCTTTAATCATTTAGCCGAGGGTGCCCCTCACTCTTTAGAACCCCCTTTTGGTGTGCATGGAAACAAAAAGAACTGGGAGTACCAGGATTAATTTTAAACTTGGCTTGATTTCTCAGCACTGGCACACCTGAATGCATATCCCCCAGTGGGCACCTAGTACACCTATATGAACCAGGTGCTACTGAACCTGCACTGCCAAAGCACATGCACCTGTTTGTTTTCATTGCGGTTACTGCGGCTACACATCCTGCCTCTTCCTATTTGCAAGTAAGACTTCTGTGGCAACATCTCTTGGTGTTCTTTGCTGTGGTCACTATAATTATTTATTATCACACTGCCTGGGTTATTGAGGCCTACAACTGCTTGTCACAGAGGCAGGGCTTGACAAATTTGCTTTGAATCTAGAAGCCAGCTAACAAAGTTGGGAGACAGTTTTTTTTAAATAAGCTGCCTGCACGTCTGGCAATAGGAATTGCTCACATCTGGTGCCAGGCCCGAATTGAGACAAAAAAATTGGCTTGGGCACTTTAGACTGAGCAGTCCAGACTGCATTGCCATTCCTGCCTCTTGTGGAACTTCACGTTCCAGCCCTGTCCACTGTCAACATCCCAGTCATGGAAAATTAGGGAGGCAGATTTTCTTGGTCTTAAGTGGCTAGATTTGGGAGAATGGGCTTTCAACCTGGGGGGTTTTTAATCTCTGTCCAACAGATGTGGGATGCAGGATGTGAATCTGAGGGTGTTCAAGTTTAACAACAAACTGCACAGATTTGTTGTCAGGTCCAGAGTCCCTCAAGCCTTCACAAGAGGCTCTGTGGCGACAGTGTGGGTACAGTTTAGCCTGATCTATGACTTTCCATCTCTCCATATTCTCATCTACGACACAGGATCAAGATGGATGGCATTTTGGTGATCTTCATCACATCAGATAGGCCCAGAAAGACATGGTACTCAGACATGCTCCGTCTTCTGCAGACACTCTGTGGGCCCTTCCAGATTGTCCAGACCCCCTGTCTCAAGAGCCAGTGTTCATCCTTCTTCTCATTCACACGGACTTTAAGTGCATGGCTGTTGAAGCTATAGTTCTGAAAGACGGGCCCTTCAAATTCAGTAAGCCCTAGCCTCTTGAATGCTAGGAAGTCGACTTCTCAAAGTCTACTATCGCACCTCGATCCTTATTTTGCTTAGTGCATGTGGAGAAACTTACATCCTAGAAAGTACTCCTTGGAACATATTCTGTCTTTCCTCCAGTCCAGTCTGGACCAACTTCTAGCTTTGCGTACCATCAAAGGACAAATATCAACTTATATCGCTCACTAGTTAAGACCTGTTGTTCTGGACGTGGTTCACATTACTCCCCCTTTATGATCTCCTGTGCCCCTTGGAACTTCAATCTGGCTTTCTTGCCTCTCTGGAGCCACCCTTTGAACCTATTGAGGATATTTCCTTAACAGCCTTATACTATAAGGAGCCTTTCTGGGTGTTGAACAAGGATATAGTGGTCTTGAGGCCTAAGGTCTCTCCTTTTTGTTTTTTTTTTTCCCAAAGGTGGTCTCTGCCTTTCACCTTAACTACGATTAACCAAGATCCTTCCTTATGTCCTACTCTAAAACATCCTAAATAAATTTTGCTTGACTGTCTGGAGTGGTGCACTGAGTTCCCCTCCTGACCACAGCCTCCTTTTAGGCAACTGGATTTCCCCAGGTGCTGCCTTTTTAAAGTAGAGCTATTAGCAAAACTTTTTTTTTTTTTATTTTGGATAGAGTAAAGTTCATTTTTGCCATCTTTGTTCCATTGGAGAGGTTCACCTTCACTTCCTGTACCATAGTCTAACTGGAAGTGAGAGGAATTCTCTGCAAATTAAAGGAATATCTTGGGTTCCCACAGGTCACCAGAACTAGTGTCCCCATTGAAATATTTCCCTTCTTTCTTTTCTGGGGACAACCCAAAATATGAAATTTTCTTTTACCTTCACTTTCAATGATAATGGTAAACAAGACAAAAAGAGAGGAGTTAATCTCCCT